ACTTGTTAGTGTTTTCTCTTTAAGAATCTATTTAGGAATATTTTATAAAAAACCTAAGAGAAGGGAGAGGTGGATTGTGTATATAGGAGGAGAAAACTATTTTCTCCATTTTATTTGTTTTTACTATGTAGCCTCAACTTGCTCTACTCTTTTTTCATACCTCTCATTATATTTGTAGGGGAATTGTCTTGTTTGTCCTCCAAAGATAAGGAAGTGGCGACAATTAGTCCAATATGGACTCTAGATTGTTGCTTCCTAGTCTTCTAAGGATTATGTGTTATTATGCATGTGGACTTTTTGATCTTATCCTTTTAAACCTTATTCCTTATCTAATAAGGTTCATATTTATCCTCCTACTAAAATATCTTATAGGCTTTTAATTTAACCTATTGGCCCAATTAATTACTAATTAATTTAGACTATCTAAATAAATTACATTACATATTTTTAGGATATCCACATTAGAAAATAATTTTCCAAATTACCCTTAAACCTAAATTAGGAAACTAATTTTCTTTTTAGGTAACTTACTTTCAAATTTGGAACTAACTTCCAAATTAAGAAATTGATTTCGAAACAAGAAACTTTTCATTTTAGAAAACTTTCTATTTTCGAAACCTTTTCCAAAATAGAAAACTTTTAAAATTAGAAAAATTTTCCAACATCTTTGCTTCTTTTTTATTATGTGAATGCTTAAACTTATGCACTTCACTCAATAGGCTCCTAGGTATATTAGTAATGTATCAAGAATAAAAGACATCTTTTTTTATCTCTTGATACATAAATCAAGATGTTAGTGTAGGTGTCCAAGATCTAACTATGTTTGGATAGGTTTGAGTTATGACATTATTGTATCACTTATTTTATTAATAATAAAAAAATTCTTTTCATTAATTCTTATGTCTTATATTTATTTACCGAATAGAATTAGAGAGAAGTTCATATGATATGTATTTGCATTAGTGATTGATCGAAAGATATGAGATAAATACTAATACATATAAATGAAATCATTAAATGTCCTAAGTCATAGTGTTGTAAAAAATGGATATTGACTATATGCGGTTAGACTTGTGAGTGTTATGCTCATGTTATATGATAGTAGTAAAAGATCTCACACCTATTGACATGATGATGCCAAAGCAAGCACTTTGGTGATTTATATTATAAAACATATCACTATACTTGATTAGCCATAAGAAGTCATTTGATTTGGTCTATAGAAATCTCATATGAGATAGGTATAATTAGTCTTTAGACTTAAAGTCATCATGATTATTTCATTAGAGGATTAGTGTACTTTGACACTCATTTTGATGGACCTAGTAGAGGATTGCACATGGACAATTCGTTGGTACACTAGAAATCTAATAAAGATAGATGGATGAAAAAGATAGGACATGTAATTTCTTATGTGCTAAAGGAGTTATCACATTGCACTTTGATGAATGTTTGCTCAAGAAATCTATAGCCACGGTAGGAATACACCAATAAAGCATAGTTAGTTTACTCTAAGAGCTAAGACATTTAGAAATAAAAAAAAAACTTATGTAATCATAATCGAACAAGACTAATAACTAAATTTGAGATCACACTATGATAAGTTGACATGAGGACTGAAATATACGGTAACCATGCTCATGAAAAGTAATTACGGATTAATTAATTCTCCTAGAGAATTGGGTAGTCATGATACCTTGCTAGAGGCTGATCTTGATTTATGTATTAAAAGATAAAAGATGTGTCTTTTATTCTTGATACATTGCCAACATGTCTAGGAGCCTCGTTGAGTCATATGCATAAGTTTAAGCATTCACATAATAAAAGATAAGCAAATATGTTGGAAAAAGTTTTCAATTTTGAAAAAGGTTTACAAAAATGAAAATTTTTCTAATATAGAAAGTTTTCTAAAATAAAAAATTTTTTATTTTAGAAATCACTTTCCTAATTTGGAAGTTAGTTCAAAATTTAGAAGTAAATAACCTAAAAGGAAATTAGTTTCCTAATTTAGGTTTAAGGGTAACTTGAAAAATTATTTCATAGTATAGGCCTCCTAAAATTATCTAACCTAATTTATTTGGATAGTCAAAATTAATTAATTGGACCAAAATAGTTTGAGCCAATAAGTTTAATTAAAAGCTTGAAAGATATTTTAGTGAGAGGATAAACATGAACCTTATTGGATAAGGATAAACATTTTAAAAGATAAGATCAAAAAGCCCACATTCATAATAACTCTTAATCCTTAGAGGATTAGGAAGTAATAACCAAGAGTCCTTTTTAGGACTAGTTGTTGCCCCTTCTTGTCCTTAGAGGACAAGGAAAACTCTCCCTTATAAATAAGAGGAGAGGTGCTGCAAGAGTTAAAAAAAAATGAATTAAAAGAGAGAGACACGGCAAAGCAAGAAAATTTAGGGCACACGAAATTGAGCAAAAGTTAAGGAGAAAATAGTTTTCTCCCAAAAACCCTAGGGCATGCCACTTTTTCCTCTCTCTCTTAGGGTTATCGCAAAATTACCCTAATTAGATTTTAAAAGAAAAAACACTAAACAAGTTAGAAAAGATAGAGCTAGCACTTTCTCAATTTTAAGTGCTTCTTTGTGGGTGCTTGAACTGCGTGGATTATCGATAGAGGTCGTACACTTAGACGACTCTTTTTCTATAAAGGTTTAAATTTGTGCTACAAAAGTTAACTCTTTATTTAATGCTTTAATTCATGATATATGATTAGTTGATTCAATGACATAATCTTGGGCCTTTTAGATGGAGAAAATTTTTTGTTTTATTCCGCACATCCATAAGATGCATAATCTTTCACAAGATTGGCCTCTAGTAAGGCATTATGCCTACTTAATTCTCTAAGAGGATTAATTAATTCGTAATTACCTTTCAAGAGCATGGTTATCATATAATTCATTCCTCATGTCAATTTATCACGAGTATGATCTCGAACTTGGTTATTAGTTTGTTCGATTATAATCAAACAAGTTTTCTTTGATTCTCAAATGTCTTAGCTCTTAGAGTAGACCAACTATGCTCTATTGGTGTAATCCTAATGTGGCCGCATATTTCTTGAGCAAATATTTATTGAAATGTAATATGATAACTCCTTTAGTATACAAAAAATGATATGACCAATCTTAGTCATTTACCTATCTTCATTAAATTTCCAGTGCGCCCAACGAATCATCCACATGCTACCCTTTACTCGAATCTATCAAAAGAAGTGTTAAAATACATAAATCTTATAATGAGATAACTCGTGATGACTTTAAGTCAAAGGACTAATTGTACTCATCTAATATGAGATTCCTATAAACCAAACCAAATGGGTTATCATGGAGAGTTAAGTCTATTGATATTTTCTCTAACAAGTAATCACCTAAGTGCTTGCTTCGGCATCACCATGTCAATAGGTGTGAGATCTTCTACTCATAGCTTATAGCATGAGAATAGCACTCACAAGTCTAATCATATATAATCAATGTCCATTCTTAACAATGTTACGAGTTAGGATATTTAATGATATCATTTAAGAGCATTAATATTTGTTTGACATCTTCGATCAATCACTAATGCAAATGCATATCATATGGACTTCGTCTAATTCTATTCAATAAATAAATATAAAAAATAAGAATTAATAGAAAGACTTATTTTATTATTAATAAAATAAATAATGCCAAGTACAATAACCGAAACCATCCAATTAAGGTTGGATCTTGGGCACTTACACTAACATTCCAAACTTAGAACCGATTTTCAAATTAAGAAACTAATTTTTAAAATAGAAAACTTTCTATTTTAGAAAAAAATTTCCAAAACGAGAAACTTTCCATTTTCGAAACTTTTTTCAAAATAGGAAAATTTCAAAACTTGGAAACCTATTCTAAAACTCGTTGCTTTTTTTTTATTATGTGAATTTTAAACTTATGTGTATGACTCAATAAACTCCTAGATATGTTGACAATGTATCAAGAATAAAAGACATCTTTTTTATCTCTTGATACATAAATCAAGATTGACCTCTAGTGAGGCGTCATGACTACCAAATTCTCTATGAGGATTAATTAATTCGAAATTACCTTTCGGGAGCATGGTTATCATACAATTCAGTTCTTATGTCAATTTATCATAGTGTGATCTCAAACTTAGTTATTGGTTTGTTCGATTATCATCACATAATTTTTTTTATTCCTAAATGTCTTTGCTCTTAGAGTAAATCAACAATACTCTATTAGTGTACTACTACTCGTTGCCATATATTTCTTCAGTAGACATTTATTAAAGTGCAATATGATAACTCTTTTGGCATACAAGGAATGACATATCCTATCTTAGTCATCCACCTATCTCCATTAGATTCCTAATGTATCCAACGAATTACTCATATGCAACCTTTTACCGGGTCCATTGAAATAAGTGTCAAAATAGATAAACCCTCTAATGAGATAACCATGATAACTTCAAGTCAAAGGACTAGTTTTACTCATCTCGTATGAGATTTCTATAGACTAAACCAAATGGGTTCTCATTGCGAGTCAAGTCTAGTGATATGTTTTCTAACATTAATTACATAAGTGCTTGCTTTGGCATCACCATGCCTATAAGTAAGAGATCTCCTACTCGTTATCTTATAGCATGAGCATAACACTCATAAATCTAACCGCATTAGTTAATATCCATTGTTGACAATGCTACAACTTGACACATTTAATGATATCATTTAAGTGAGTCAATATTTGTCTTATATCTTTTGATCAATCATTAATGCAATGCATATCATATGGACTTCTATCTAATTATATTCAATAAATATAAACAATAAAAATTAATAAAATGAATTTTTTTATTAATAAAATAAAGAGTGTAATATTACAATAAGTCAAACTCATCCAAATAAGGTTGGATTTAGGGCACCTATAGTAACACTCTTTGCCAAACCAATCACCACCTCTAGCTAAAACCCCCAAAGCTACTCGGATTCCAACCTCCCTAAGCTCACATGAGCTTCTCCAACTTTCACTCAAACTCTTTCGAGATGTCATCCCTCATTACAACCAACAGTGCCCCGGCTCTATCTTTAACCTCTAACCAAACCAACACCACCTACACGAGCTTCATCTCCTCCCTCATTACCCATAACCCCAGCCCTAAAACACCAACCACTAGCCAAAAAATATTCATCCGAAACCCAATAGCCTCTTCTCATGTCATACCAAACCACCACGAGTTGCTTTATTTTCCTCATTACACTAGCCATAAAACAAGACAAGGCAACTATAAAGCTCCATCATACACTCTTAACTAGAACCCAACTATTGTTCGTCTCTCCCAAAAAACCACCCGGACACGACACTTCTTTTCTAGTTTCATTTCCATTTCCTTTCCTTATTTCCACTTCTTACTGCTAAGGCATAAACGTGGAGAAAAATGATTTGAAATAGTAATTTATGAGGGGGTGACAATCGAGTTAATAGCATTATAATAGAGAGTTTCAATCAATATATTTATAAGAATAAAATATTTTAATCAAGTTGAAAAATAATTGAGGATCTTAATTTAAAAAAAAAAAAAGAAACCGCACACGGACCAATTATGAGTAAATCTTTTTAAAAATATATATTTGACTAATATGTATTATTTCTTAATAAATAATAAATTTTTTTATCAATTATTCGTTATTGACTTCGTGTGATATCACGTGCTATCTAAAAAATTGACACGTGACATCAACTCTTCGTGTATGCATGCATGCTTTCTTCTTTTTACTTCTTTCCTTTAACACCACTCATTCACTCTCACACGGCAAGGACTTTTTCCTCCAAAATGGCAAAAAAGCTTTCCTTCCATCTCTTCCACGTGACTTCATCTTCATCCTTTGAGCACCTCATGAAACCTCCCAAAAAAAAAAAAAAAAAGAGTTGATTTATTTAAGTTTTTCAACCTTATTCAATTAAAACCTTAAAAAAATCTAAAATTAACACCTTAAATATTCCTTTTTTTTGTCATATGTAATTTTATTTTTGAGAAAATGATATGATATGTCCTTACATAATGGACTAATTCTCCCATATATTCTTATATTTTAAAATGAGTCAATTATGTTCATATTATTTAAACAAGTTTTCAATTTATATTTTTAGTCAATTTTCCAATTAAATCACCCGAAAATATCATATGACTCGCACATGTTTTTTTTTTTTTTATGAAAATACCTCTTTTACCTTAACGTATTAAGTCTTCAATTTGTCCTTATATAATGAATTGGTCTCTTATATGTTCTTAATCCATAAAAAAATGCATATAATTGTGAATTTTGCTAACAATGTATTGCACTATTGTAATTTTTTGTTTGTTAATTAAAAATATATAAAAATAATTAGTATTGTTAGTATATAAGTTTTTTTTAAAAAAATTATGTAATATATTTTTACTGCTAAAGAGTCTATTGTATTGTTGTAATTATGATAATTCATATGTCTATAAAATTGAATAAATTAATATAATATTTACTAACATGTTAAATCATCTCTATAGAAAAAAATATGAATCACGGGTAACAATAACTAAATGATATAAATATCATTGATTGAATTAAAAAACTACATAATTATAATTTAAATGGTTGTTGATTAGGCTCTTAAGCATGTAATTATTTGTTTAAAATTAAAAGTTAGCAAAAAATAATATTAAAAAATTGAAGTGGTAAATTAATATCATTCTTTTACAATGAAATTTGTTAGAGTTGGATGGGGTACTTGAATTTAAAAATTATGGAGTGGCCAAATTATTTGAATATATTTTAATTTAGTCACAATAACTTAATTTAGCAATAAAAATATCATTGAATAGTTAATAATGCAGTCATTAACTCATTGATACTCTCGCAATACCAACATAAGCTATTATTTTGAATTAAAGACAGATTAGAAACTTAACCTATCATATAAAAATATATTAGAGACTTAACATGTTAAGATAAGAGGGGTATTCTCGTTAAGAAAAGATCAAGTACAATTCATGTGATATTTTAAATGGTTTAATTGATCATAAGAATAGATTGAAACCTGCTTAAATAAGAGAAATATAATTCACTCATTTTAAGATACAAAAAGACAGATTGAAGACTAAGCCCATTATATAAAGATATACCATACTATTTTTCTTTATTTATTTTTGTCACATATTCCTTTCTGATTGCCTTTTTTTTTAATTGTTTAAAATTGATCAATTTTTTTTTTAAATGAAAACTTAAATACTCTTTCTTTTTTGTCTCAAATAAATAATAGAAGCCTTAAAACCTCATCTTTCTTAGTTTTAATTTTTTTTATATTATTTATTAAGCAGCTAGTGTTTACAAAGACAAACAAAACATTAAAAGTATTTATTTTTAAAAAAATAAAAAAATTTGGATGGAGAATTTATTTTATTTTAAAATATTAAAATTAATTATATCAAAAAATTAAAAATAATCAATTAAGTTGAATATTACTGAAGTTGAGACTATTTATATCATTTTATTAGTTTTGTATGTAAAATATGAAATCCTGGAAAAGGTAACAAAATGACTTGATTTAAATATACCAAAATATAAAGAAGTTAAAATTGAAATTGAGAATATATATAAACTAATCATTAAATCCTTAAATCACTTTAAGTTCAAGGAAAGATTCGCCAATTTAACCTTTAAAAATATCAAGTTGTCACATGCTCCGCACGAAATATTGTTCTATTAATTAGCCAATCTCCACAGAACTTTGACACTAAGATAATTAAGATCACGAAAACAATATTTACAATTTATTTCTTCTCATGCAAATTAATTTGTCTCAAATTAGACAAGATGGTTTTAAAATTCACGTAGCTAGGAGTATGTCTATGAACAAGACAATTCTCTTGTTTTGCATGAGTTGTTTGATAGGGATATTTGACATTTAACCAAGGATAAGTAACTTGAGCAACATAATCATCAAAAGTAATTTAATTCATGACACAATTCCTAACCAGCTCTCAATAAATCTCATAATTTACAATAAATAAATAAATGTGAAAGAATTGTTTATTCCAAATAATTAATGAATTTTAATTATTAATTAGGAAAAAAATTATTGTCAATAAATGAAATATCCATCTATCTGCTTTTGAAAAATATGAAGCTATTGATTCAAATGAACTAGAAGGGAAGCTAAAGAAAGGAAAGCAGTTCCACTAAGACAAGTGATGCCAATAGTCCCACCAACCAGACCAGCAAGTTCAAAATATTCATAAAAGTCCCTCTCCTTTTTTAGTTTGCAATCATACCCAGGTGCGTAGTTCCACCCATACATGCATGATGATCTGTAGCATCTCTCCAGTCTCTCCTTTGCCCCAATCTCCTCTATCCTCCCTCTTAGAACACTTAAATTTGCATCAACTATGTGACTTGATCTCCCTTTCAAAAACAAGCAAATTAACAAAATTCCATCAACAACATTAAAGATATAATCATGATTCAAATAGCACAGTATATATATGAAGCCTGTAATTTACCTACCTTCCTCTCCATAACTCCGAGCTCTAACTCTCATGGCGCGACGACAATTATTCTTGATGCATGGCTTGATTAAAGCACAGGAAGAAGGAAGAGAAGCCATTTATATATACTTTGCTTTATTTATAGGTGTGTGTGTGTGTAGCTGAGTAGCTGAAAATCAGAACAAAACTAGTTTTGGATAGCTAGAAAATAGTGTCATTAGCTTTGGTTCTTGTGCATTTTATGAAAGCTCATTTGGTTTCATGCTCTATATATGGTAGGGAGACCGTGTGTTGTATCTGGTCAAAAGTCAAATCAACATAGAAATTACCCACCGTGCAATGCGATTTGGAAATAATTAATAATATTTATATGAATTAAAAACTTGAGGAAGCTATCATCTTTGGTGTGTGATTCATTAATTTAGTCTAAACAATTAAGTACTGAATGTTGTTGCTGTTGTTGTTATGCGTTTGGAATGGAATTGCCGAAGTTGGCCTCAAGGTTCCTCTTGACCAACTTGTTCCTTTTAATATAGTTGCACAGCTAATATCAATGAAAAAAATGAGGAAGGAATAAAATTTTGATGTGTATTTATCAATCTACAAACGACAGACAAACACGTTTATTTGTGTATCCAGCCTTGCAGAGATTTACAATATATAATCTCTTGATCAATATTTTAAAGTGTGGTAATTATAAAACAAACTAAAGTAAAACATAGTTTTATTATTTATTTTCACTATTTGAAATACTATTTACACATTTACATATCAATATTCACATACTCACAAATCATTATTCCTTTCACTATTTGTGTCAATTTTTTAACACTTTGGTCCTCAATTTTTCTATACCTTTTTTTTTTAATTTCAAACTTTAATTGTATTATGATTTAATCTCATTTTTTTTAATTATTTTTATTATTTAGAATTTACTACTTTAATTTGTCATTTTTTAATATAGTCATATGTTATTAATATTATGATCATATTATAATATTATTATTTTTCTACACTAAGCATTTACTATTTATTTATTTATTTTTGAATTAAATAATTAAAATAATGTTTTGGCTTAATCACTCAATGATTCAAATTAATATAGTTTTTATTTTAATATTATTCATTCTTTTGTAAATAAATATATAAAAATTAAATTTATTTTTTTTCAAAAATCGATATTCTCATCAACATTAAATAAAAAAATTATTTATTCAATTTTATGTAAGCTTTTAATAATTATTACTTATGTTTTTCGATGTAGCCTTATGAAATACTAAAGTTTTTTTTTAAAAAAATTTATTTATTTTTCTTTTTAGTTAATAATCCATGGATTAACAAGGATAAATCCTTTTTCTAAAGAAAAAATTATGAAAAACACAAATTAGAAATAGTTAAATACAAAATTTTTTATTAAAAAACTATAATAATATTATTTTCTACACTAAGCATTTACTATTTATTTATTTATTTTTAATTAAATAATTAAAATAATATTTTTGCTTAACCACTAAATGATTCAAATTAATATTTTTTTTATTTTAATATTATTCATTCTTTGTAAATAAATATATAAAAATTAAATTCATATTTTTTCAAAAATCGATATTCTCATCAACGTTAAATAAAAAAAATTATTTTTTCAATTCTATGTAAGCTTTTAATAATTGTTATTTATGTTTTTTTGATGCAATTTTATGAAATACTAAAGCTCTTTTAAAAAAATTATTTAATTTTCTTTTTAGTTAATAATCCATTGATTAACAAGGATAAATCCTTTTTTCTAAATGAAAAATTATGAAAAAAATAATAATAATAATTAAATATAAAATATTTTATTGAAAAATTATAAATAATTTTTTCACCTTTAATTTCATATATTTTTATAAATTCACACCATAAAACAAACTAGCAAATTGAAATAATTTTTCTAAACGATTTTATATATTTTATCCAACCCACAACGTAACGCGACAAAAAAACTAATTAAAATAATATATATATATATATATATGTGTGTGTGTGTGTGTGTGTGTGTGTGTGTGTGCGCGCGCGTGCGTGCGTGCGCACGCACGCTTTATTTTATATACATTTGTTACGCTATCATTGCTTCATGCAGTGATGAAAGCCTAGGCCCAGCAACATATGTTTGGTAGAACGTAATAGAAAAGGAAAAATAAAAAATGATAATAATGTTGTCATATTTACCTAGTTATATAAAAGTATAAGCAACCTGGACATTAAGGTGAATAAGGATTAAAAAAATACATATTAATGGGTTATTAGGTATGAATTATATCATTTTATACTCTATTAATATTCAACAATATTTTTGAAAAAAAAATAGACATGAAGAGATCTAACTGCATGAACTTTATAAAATAGGAACTAAATTGTTTTTATTAACATTTTTAAGATTAAAAAATCGTATAAATAAAGGACCAAATTATACAAAAAAAAATAATTTAAAAACCAAAATAACTTTTTTTAAAATTATAAAGACCAAAATGAATGTTTCAACAAATTATTTTCGACTGATATTATTAGACGGCAACAAAGACTACTGATTAATCATTAATCTTTTGTCCAGACTGTCTTCGTATATCTCCGGTGGCAGAAATAGGAATATTTACAGCCTTCATGTATTGGGTTTGACTTAAGAGATTGATCCAGCTAAAGCTTGAAAAAGACAACTCTTGTAGAAAAAATGAGCCCAGCCTTAATATAATTACAATTAGCTCCTTAAATCTTAATACGAGATGCATTAAGCGTAGAAGTTAACAACCATATGGAACTGTGAATAAAACATTAAAAAAAAAAAAACAAAAAGACATCAAGACCATTCAACAGTTAATCCTAAATTGAAAATGAAATAAACAAAATCAATCCTTGTACATTTTAATCTAAAGAATTAGATCAGATAAGAAACAAAATTAAAATCTGGGTCCGTAATGGGTAAACGAAAAATCAACTGTTAGGCAACTTAGAGCGACACAAAGGGCAGGAAGTACTGTTCAACAACCACTTGACAATGCAGTGAGGATGATAGACATGAGAGCAAGTAGTGGTAGCAGCTTCAGATCCAACAGAGAAGTCTTGTAAGCAAATTGCACAACACAAGTCTTCATTAGAACCCATATTGTCCTTCTCAATTTTCACTTTCTTCAAGCATGGAATTGGTGGTTTGCAGGCTTGTAAGACATGATTAAAAGGGTTTTCTACGAAATCCCACGAGACCTCCTTATCTTCATCAACATGGATTCCACTCGTGACGTTAAACTTGACACAATGGGTCAGTTCAGATGAAAGAAGGCACACAAATATATGGTCGGCTTCACCAGGCAATGAATAAGCAATGCGAGATACGAGTTGAATCAGGTTATCTTTTACCGTCCAAGATAACCTGATGCCTATGCTCCTAAGCAAACGCCTCCATGTGCTATCTTTCGAACGATCCCACAACACTTCCCCACGTTTTACCCGGAATGATTCTCTAGATTTGACTGATGAGCCATCATGCGATTCTTTCACAATGATGAATTCTACTGTGATTTCTTTGGCACCAAATTCACTTGAATTGAGAGAATGTACTGAGGGCTTCATGATTTTGTTTGAAGAAAATATGGCGTAGTAGAGACTAGAGACTGAGAGACTGTTGGGTCAAGGTAGTTTCTTTTTTTATACTTGGGATTCATTCCAGATGTTTTAAGGAATTCATGTCCGTATTGGATTCGGAATAGCAAATAGCCGTTGGCCTTTAACCGACTCTGTTTATATATATTACGGGGTTTCCTTGTTTCAAACGGACAAAGAAAAAAAAAAAAAAAAAGAGGTAACAATATATACTGCCACTGCCCACTGGTGTAACAACTTGGGTTTATAATTTTTGACCTACAAACATTTTGGCTACTAATAACATAATTATATTGATTAGGTCATTTCTGATTTCCTAATTTTACCGGTTTAAATTAGATTTTAAAGTTCCAAAACCCTAAATTTCCCAAGTTTAATCAATTACAACCATCCATATCTACCCCGATTTCTTCTGATATAAGCAGGGGTTTAAGACTTAACCATGAGGTTTTTTCATAGGGGCAAAGTATCCGACACACGACATTAGAGTACAAAAACAAAAACGTATGCGGTGTTTCCAGGATTACTTGACATAAAAATAGCCATTAATCAGGGTAGGCTATACCAAGAGGCCCAGAATTTGGTAATGGCGCAATATATCTCACTATCAACAATCACTTAATTCATAATCAACAGCATAGAGAGAGAGAAAACGTACCTAAAAAACTCGTGTTACATCAAATTCACTCAACCTGTCAGTTTCAACATCATAGATCCCTCTTCCTCCTAAGATTAAACTAACCTAATGACTATCAAAATCTGAACATTTGAGCAAGGCACATCACTTAGATCGCTAAACCATCTAAATCCATTGCACGAGAAGACCTCATAGTACTGCAATTTTAAATATCATAAACAATATTTGCTATAATTTAAATGTTATCTTATAGCCAGATTTGAGAGAATGCAATAACAGCATAAACATGTGCATCGATGATGGGCATGCCTCTGGTTTTACTATTCTAAAGCTAATGAAAGAATTCAATATAAAAATATTAGCAAGCGCTTTTCCAAGCTCAATAATCTATGGATATGATAGTATTTGATGTTTGCAAGTTCCCGCATCATAGACAGAATTAGAGGTAGACATCGATGCAATTATCACAAAATTAACTAACAGGGGAATAATCGTTATCACTTCATTGACATCCAAATGACTTCAATTTTAGAATAGACACATTAGTGGAAAAATAATGAGCAATCAACGGAACCCTGGCTAGCAGAGGTACAACAACATTGGAAAAAGCTGAACATCAAATCTTTTATCCTTTATTAGAGCAGATTCTTCTTCTTATGGTTTCTATTTTGGTCAGTAAGATCTTCAATTGGAATGCTAGGCCAGTAAAGACCAAGAATCAGTCAAGATGTCTCATGGCACAGGCATCATTACCAGAAAATATCAACTGCATTGCGTTGTAGCAATGTTGTCCAAGTCTGGCAATATTAAATAACAGTGCCTATCAGCTCCTTTAATGTTCTAATACTACTCTATTCTGAGATTTTCACTAGAAGCGATTATCATTAAGAATGCATGCTGGATTACACAGAATGATAATGGATAAAGCTGTTTGAATTATGCCCTGTAAGCAGTAACATAAAATGGAGCCTCTTCAACTTACAAAGTGTTCTTTTAGTTTCTTTTTGGCAATATCCAAATGACTCCACCAACTTTATTCTAGCAGATACAGAAAATTACTCACCACCTATGTAGGTATTAGAATAACAATCAAGTCCTCACTAGAGCAGATGAGGGATTCATTGGCAGTTGAGTCCTTCAGAAATCCTCACTGTATCAAAAGACCAATGGTGACTTCTCATTCATTAGCAGTTGCATCCTCAGATGGAGCACTTCCTCCATCTGCATGTATAAAAATCAAAAAAGAAAAAGGATAATTGAGTTTCCTTGGCCCCTTGAGAGAAAATCAGACTGAGAAGAGAGATTCTATAACATTAGTGGTAATAGCTTTTGTGTTATAGAATGATGATCACGCATACCTTCGCCATCTGCTGGGGCATAAGGAGACTTCCGGTATCGCGTTTGCTGTTGTGTGGGCTGGGAAACAGAAAGAGATATTACACAATAAGCACCTAGTATGAAAATAGACTAGCATTACAGCAATAACGTAATGTCCAGTAGAAAAAAGTGCGTGTTTCTTACATGTAAAAATAAAACTAATATGTGGAAACCCAAAAACCATTCAGGATGTCTGCCAATCTGTGTCTTTTTATGAAAGGAATTAAGCCAAAAATAGCAGGGAGGAATTAACAAGTTTAGCACGAGTCGTTCATTCATTTTCTTTCAAATTTACTGGCATTATATCTGCATCAAGCCTTGAAGGCAACATCTCTATTTACTTGTTATGTTGCCTTTTCCTTAATATAAACTACATAGGATTTAAAGAAAACAATACATCCCCCTAGTTCAAAGTCATCGAGGAACCTTTGCTTGGAGCAATAAAGAGATGACTTCAGTGTTGTTGATCAGAATAAATTAGGATAAATAGATCTTCTATCAGTGTAACTGCTTCCTCTGCCAAAATAGAAATCCTCCAAAAATGGTAGGAGCAGAGAGACTTTAACTTTAGCTAGGGAACATCCTCCAAATAAAATATACAACACAATACCTCATCCAATTTCTGATCAATTGCTGGTGATTTTAGCGGTGGAGATCTTTTTCCTACTTTGAGAATATATGGTTGAAGGTATATTGTTTCTTTGATCAGGCATTAATTCTAGAGTATCATTTTATCAGGTGACTTCACTTTTTCCTAGCTAGGATACCAGGTTTGAAGTAAGATCTTATGGGGTGCAGTGGAATTGTGCTCTGAAATCCATCAGTCCAAAGCAGAAAGGTTAGTGGGAGCATAATCTCCAGGAATTGATTTTGGAAGGATCAAGGATGAGGCACTGAGTAGGAGGATAATGTCTAAAGCTTTATAGATTTGCAAAGGAAATACCACAACCAAATCTTTCCACATGATAACTAATTCTCAAAGGAATAATCTTATTGGAACATTAATGATTGATAAACTTAGTGATGAGAGATAATTTTTTCTGTACGAACAGATGCACTATCATCCAAATCCTAATCAAGGAATGACAAAAGGGATTGCTGTAGCAAATACTGGAAGCACCTAAACCAAACAGGTAAAAAATCATTGATGATGCCTAGAATGGTAATAAATCAAGTTACACATGCCAATAGTAGTTATTGTAAAGAATATATGAGCTTTATGCAGTATTATCATTAAAAAAAAAAATTAGAAGAAAACACTCATTGTCAGTTTATAAAACTTCAAGGTTCAAACAAAAATTCTAGACATTGGCTCAAAATAACTTGGTGAAGAAGTCCTTTTTCCTATTTCTTGGTTTATCAAGGGGCGTAAGTACAAGAAACTATTACATAACACAATTCTCCCTGCATAATTGATCCATTTCACCTCAGTCCACATTTATATGCGTTTATGGTGGCATTTGCAGAAGAACACTAGCAGAAGTCACAAACCATTGACAACTTATCATACGTTCCACCTATAACCCATTGCGAACTCAAGAAAACCTAAAAAACTAACTTCACTTAAGCATGAGCAGATCAATTATCTCAAATTAAATATTAACTTTCTTGTACTCCATGAATTTAATCCATCTTTTGACAGAACTGACTTAATTCTAATCATTTCCTTCTTTTAAACAGGCTTCCAGATTTTGAAATAAATAAATACCTAACTTCTTCAGCTTTTAAAGTAGCTCTACCCTCACCAATTTGAGTTAACAACGTACGATGATTCAGCTTCACATCTTAATATATCACCAAAAGCTCACAACACATAAGTAGTTGGTTACTTTTGCATGCAGATCCTCTACGTTCATTAGAAATCAACAACGACTTATGCAGTCTAGTTTATTTGATATCAGCCACTCACAGTCGAATATAAGCATGGCTAAAGTAAGCATACAAAGTTTTCTTCTTTAAAAGGTAGAAGACAAAAATGAGATGAAGACTGGATCAACATATACCATTCACATTTGTACCTGTAATTTAGGCCGAAGGGCTTCAAGTGGTCCTTTGGGCTTCTCAACACCTTGCTGATGATTCAAAATCATTAAATGATATGACATTAGGTAACTGTCTTAATGCAGTCAATTTTACTAAAATAACAGAAAAAAAAAAAAGCATGAAAACCAGTACCTTTCCAAGTGCCCAATCAGCAGAATCAAAGTATGCACGTTCATGGTCCTAACATCCAAATCATAACTTTAAACACAAACCAGTGCAGAGCACAACATCTATCAAGAGTCAAGACTCGGTAATAAGGAGTCACCTTAGAAATGAGAGGTGGTTTCTTAGGCATGATTCCTCCGTATCTCTTTTTTACGGCTTCCTCCTACGTATAAGAACAAACGAATAAATAAAAACTCTGTGGATAGAAAGTTTTCTACTCACATAGTTACATGTCATATGAATCAATTAGGATGTGGGGAGAAAACCTCCTGTTTATGTGAAGGCATGGAACTTTTATCCTCGGAAAGATTTCCATCAACCTGCTCTTGCTTGTTACCATCCTCCATACCTGAAGCAACAACGGTATAACCGTTATCGTCATAAATAAGCATCTCACTCAAATCGATCAAGTACAATAAATGCTCCTTCCACAGCATACAAATACTTAACTAAATCCTGAGAGAACAAAACTTAGCAAACCTGTGAACTACTTAACAAGATGCTTGCTACTACGATACTAACCAAGTAAGGCAACTCCCAATCTAACCTGTTGTTATGAATTTTCATTAATTTAAACAATTCCTTCACCACAATCGAAAAGATTGACTCATCAAAGTATCCTAATCATTCCAAACTCTTATATGCTCACGTGAAATGATCCCATCAATTACTGCTAAATTACATTCTTATTATCGGATATTCGTTGATTTCTTTGCTCTTCTTGCATGAACAAAAAGACAGTAATCATAAAATAATAACAACATTTAATGAATTGATTGATCCAGGAACCTTTCCAAAAATTAAAAACTAATTAACCACAACATTAAACACAGTTAGGACCTAAAACTCATAATAATTTAAACAGCCTAAGTAGAATAAATTGAATGAAGAAACAAATATAGAAAAAAAATCATCTCTCTCTATTAAATATCTAATCTGCTTAATTAAGATCCATTTAACACGAAATTCATTAAGAGCCAAAGAGAAGAGAGATCTATTTTATCAAATAACAAACAAAAAAAAAATTAGGCAGCGAAATACAAAACAAGAGATTTTGGACCCAAAAAAGAAGCGAAATGAAAATTGAAAGTTTTTTTTATTACCGATTATGAACTTCGTGCTCCGATTTCAAATGTAGAGAGAGAGAGAGAGACGATAATTCACAGAGGGATAATGTTGTTATGTTTAGATCTAGAGCACGATCTGGATTAGGTAAACTGTATTTTACACCAGATAGATGCCACTATTTTTCGTTCTTGTCCTATTAGTTTGAAGTTTTCAATTATATCCCTGTTTTTCTATATCTCTTCGTTGGATATATTATTAAACGCTCCCATGGCTTAAAAAGTTCCAAAAAGTTAGCTAGATATTATTTTTTAAACGGCTCAATAGGTCAAGCCAAGTCCGATGGTGGGATGGAATCGGGGGAGGTCGGAGTCACGTCCCTAGTCTCAAGGTCCTGGCTGAAGTTGGATCCAGAAATCAAAATTAACAGTACTCGAATCAAGTAGAGGACACCAAACAAGTTGGATTTATGATGCTACGGAACCAGACACATCTTAAGTATCAGGGGTTATGGTCGGATTAACTAGACCATTGGGCTAGGTAGCTATCAAGCCTAGTTCAAGGTTTCATTTTTTCAGTCTTAAATATAATTTAAGCAGTTTGCTGTTCAATTTTTTAAAGTATAAGGTTTTGATAAAATTCTACTAATTATACATTATACATTATTATACATAAAACTAAAACAAAACATGATTTTACTATTTATTCATTATTTGAAATACTATTTACACGTTTACAAATTACTATTCACACACTCATAAATCATTATTCTTTCACTATTTATGTCAATTTTTTAGCACTTTGGTCTTCAAATTTTTTATATATTTTTTTAATTTTAAACTTTAATTGTATTGTGATTTGGTCCTATTTTTAAAATTTACTACTTTAATTTGTCATTTTTTTAATATAGTCATATGTTATTAATATTATGATCATATTACAATAATATTATTTTTCTACACTATACATTTGCTATTTATTTTTGAATTTAAAATTTAAAATATTGTTTTGGCTTAACCTCTCAATGATTCAAATTAATATAGTTTTTTTAGTTTAATATTATTCATTCTTTTGTAAATAAATATATAAAAATTAAATTCACATTTTTTCGAAAATCGATATTCTCATCAATATTGAATAAAAAAAAGTTATTTGTTCAATTCTATGTAAGCTTTTAATAATTTTTATTTATGTTTTTCAACACAATCTTATGAAATACTAAAGTTTTTTTAAAAAAAATTATTTAATTTTCTTTTTAGTTAATAATCCATGAATTGACAAGGATAAATCTTTTTTCTAAAGAACAAATTATGAAAAACACAAATAAGAAATAGTTAAATACAAATTTTTTTATTAAAAATTATAAATAATTTTTTTCACTTTTGATTTCATATATTTTTATAGATTCATACCATAAAATAGACTATCAAACTCGAAATGATTTCTCTAAACAATTTTATATATTTTATCCAACCTACAGCGTAGCGTAGGCAAAAACATAGTCAACACTAAAACATCCGAGATGTTCATTGTTCATTTGAACAAGTAAATAAATAGTAAACTTCCCAGATTACCCTCCGTTTTACTCGTTCATTTGAACTCGTAAAACACTTTTTTTTTATTACTATCCCTCATTTTGTTGTTTTTTTGGAAAATGGTGAGAGGGAAAAAGGGTGCAACGGACATATAGTCGGTGGACCGATTTTGAAATTATACTTATAAGTCACCCTTATTATTAACTCGCAATTTCGTGCCTATAATTAATGGAGAATTCAGCCTATAATTAATGGAGAATTCAGCATTCATTGAATGTGCTATATATCGGAAGTCATGGTCTTCTAAAATCTTTATTAAAAAGTAAATAATAATACTTTTTATAGAGAAATAGAAAAAAATTGATCAAAGTTGAAAATATTTTTATTATTTTAAGTGAGTAATAGATGTGATTTTTATTTTTATTTTATATATATATATCTTCTCAAAATAGTTCATAGTATAATTATTTCTTGATTATTTTAAAATTTCTTAAAATTTGGTGTATACGGATCATTTGCTTGTATCACCACAAGCCAAATGTGATGATCCGATTTATAACATAGTCACAAGTAGTATTGTACTAAATACCGAAACATCCGAGATATTGAACGAGTGAACTTTCCGGATCACCTCTCGTTTTACTCGTTCATTTGAACAATAAAACACTTTTTTTTTTAAGCCGAGACCCACCCTTTTTTATTTTTACCGAACCCGTTTTACAGTTCATTTGAACAATAAAACAGCTTTTTTTTCTTTTTTTCAAGCCAAGGCCCTCTTTTGTTTTTTTTTTCCCCTTCGCTATCTATAACCAAGGCCCGCTTTTGGTTTTTAGTAAATATTTTTATTTATTTTCCGTAATGGTATTTTCGTGATTGCCTTACAGCCTTTTTTTCCTTTATGTTTTCAAAATATATTTTTAAATCCTCATATTTTTAAAAATATTTTGAAATTTCATGTTTTTACTTTAGTCTATTTTTTCTTCTTTTTTTTTTTCAAAATATACATTTTGTTCCTCATATTTTTTAAAAATATTTTTGGCCTCTTATGTTTTTAAATTTTAGAACAAACACATATATGGAATTATATTTTTTGTTGATTAAAATTAATATCTTAGATTCATCGTTTATTATAAAAATTTTCATCAAATTAAATTTTTTATAAACTTTTATTTGTTGATAAATATGATTTATTTTTTTTTATCTTTGTTGAAAGTTAATTATGTATCTACATAAATAAATACCATTAGTCCTTTCGATTCAAAAACTTTTTTTTCCTTTTTGCTATTTCAATATTTTTATTTTCTATTTTAAAAAATAGAGAAAGACAAACAATATAGGGAAAATATAAAAAAATATATTTTTTTAAAATAAAAAATAAATTATTCATGGTCAACACTAATAAAAAAAATTAATTGATTCATTTTTAAAACGAGATAAACTAATTTATTATTTAATTTGTAATTTAAGAATATCTTTCATCATAAATTAAGAAGTAAGATTTATGGGAACCAATTTTGTAGTAGTTTTTATTTCGGATTATTGATTTTAATATATTTCATACATCATAGATGGTTTTTTTATTAAAAAAATATTATTTATACTATATACTCTGAATCTACTAAGTATGATATATATATATATATACATATATATATATATATATATATATATACTTTTATTGAAAAATAATTATGTATCCGCATATATAGCACCATTAGTTCCTTTGATTCAAAAAATAATTTTTTTTCCTTTTTGCTATATCAATGGTTCTATTTTTTGTTTTAATAAATAGAGGAAGAATAAAAAAATAAGTAAAATATATATATATATATATATATATATACTTTTATTGAAAAATAATTATGTATCTTCATATATAACACCATTAGTTCCTTTGATTCAAAAAATAATTTTTTTTCCTTTTTACTATATCAATGGTTCTATTTTTGTTTTAATAAATAGAGGAAGAGTAAAAAAATAAGTAAAAAAAAACACACACACACACACACATATATAACACTAATTATTTGTAATTTATTCTTTTTTATATTCTAAAATTAATATTTTTAAATAAAATAATTGAAATATATATCATTAGTTTTGTTATAAATTAATTATGTATTTACATACATAACTCCAGTTGTTTGTTATTTATTATTTTTTTATGTTCTAAAATCAATTTACATTAATTATGAAAAACAAGATTTTTATCCACACTACACCATACAAATTGGTGAACTTACATACACGATTGTCCGACCGCAAGTATAACGCGGATATCCAACTCGTACTTGCTAAAAAAAAATTAAAAAAAAAGAAGCTAAAACCTTATTATAGAGAAGCATGTTTTGGACGAAAAATACCTTACAACGTTTCATATTTTCAGTCTTAAATATTTCCTTTTTCAAGTAATAATAACTTGCCATTTTTTATACAAAAAAAGAACTTGCCATTTAAGAATCACCGTAATAAATTCTTTTTTCATACACAAAATACCATTTAATATTTACTTTTTTTAGTCTTAAATTTTTGAGAAATAATTATGGGCAAATCTTCTTTTCTAATTAAATCACGTTAGTTTTTCCTAGTTTTTCCTTTATGAGAATCTTAAATACTCAAATTATAATCTATAATAATAATTACCAAGGATCTTATTGATATTAACTACATTATCACAAGTTTTTTTTTATCATTTTCAAATGATTTCATAAATTTAAACCTCGAGGCCACCTTAGTTAGGCGATAAATTTGCTTTTTATATTCTCTTCAAATGACCAAATTTTCTCATATAA